TGCTAGCATGGACCTGATAAAGGGGCAATTTTAGCATTGGAGCAATATTTGATTGATACTCTTCGGCCTGAGTACAATATTGTACAGTAGTCGGGTCTCCGCTTGCTAGCATGGGGGTTGATCCCCCAAACGTTCAACTTAAACCCGTGTAAGATGACCGTAGCTCAAATGGGGAAAAAGAAGAGCGAAGAGAGTAAGGCATGCTTGCGACCTGGGACTTTGCATAGCAACAAATTGGCGCTGCTCTAAATGGTCGTGCCTCACCTCTTGGGCTTGCTATGCTTGCTACCATACCAACCATACCAACCATACCAACCATGCCAACGAGAAACCGTGTATCCTTTGGGGGTTTAGCCCCAAAGAAGCCCCGGGGGATAGGAACCCTCTGATTGCATCTCCTATCGTCAATACCTTCTTTCCACAGATTCTAATCCCTTGATAACTTGTATCTTTAGATACCCCTAAGTCAAAGTTCCCCCCTTAATCATCGTCTCTAGGACATCCTAGAGACCGTAGATGGCATTTCCCTTTCAATGTTAAGTATATGTTAGGTGAAGAGTAATGGTTATCCTATCCATCTTATTGTTAACGGCTGCTTTGCCTTTCTCTTCCGTATTCTACTTCTCCTCTATAGTAATCAATAGAGTAGCCATCTTAGTTTTACTCTTATCCTCGCTATTGGCCTTTAACACTTTGTTATTAGAGCCTTTAGGTGTTGGGGTAGGAATCTATGGTGGAGTCTGCCTGGTCTCTGTTATATCACAAGCATTTGATTGCTTTATCCTGGCCTCCGGTACCTTATTATTGGTACTTGCTACCGGTATCCTTCCGATGAAATCCTTGTATTACTGGTCCTCAACAAGAGAAGAGATTACCCATGACCCTCTTTCTAAGCTTATCCCTCTTATTTTACTTATCAGTACTCTTGGTATGAGTTGCCTTGTAACTAGTTCTGATTTGGTTACCGTTTACTTGTCTGTTGAGCTTCAAAGCCTCCCTCTTTACATCCTCGCCTGCTTGTACCGTGACTCTGAACCAGCCACTTCTGCCGCCCTGAAATACTTCCTAATTGGAGCCCTCTCAAGTTGCTTGTTCCTCCTTGGGAGTAGCCTACTCTATGCCTTATCTGGCCTCACTAGTTTAGAAGGCGTATATCTGGTCTCCTCTTTGGGAGTAGGTTATAGCGGGTTCCTTATACCTGTTATCTTTATAGGTCTTGCGGTTCTTATTAAGCTTCCTGCAGCTCCCTTTCATTACTGGGCCCCTGATGTCTATGACGGGGTACCAACCTTGGTCACTTCTTGGCTAGCAATTATGCCTAAGGTTGCCTTACTAGCCTTCCTAGCCCTCTACCAGGGCTTAACCCAAATAGGTGGGATAGTGGTTACCGAACATTCGGTATGGGGGTTCATTCTCCTTGGATCTGCTCTTCTATCCCTTGTATTAGGAGCTCTCCTCGGGGTAGCTCAATACCGTATTAAGCGGATGGTTGCTTATAGTACGATAAGCCACTTGGGGTTCTTGCTACTTGCTCTAGGGTTGGTTACTCCCCAGGGTCTGGAGGCCTATCTCTTCTACCTTTTCCAGTACGTGGTTACCAGCTCCAACCTATTCTTCGTCCTGCTAGTGTATTCTAATCAGGTATTGGAGACCTGGGGTGATTCAACGGTATTCCTTGAGCAACCAAAACCGGAGAAAGACGAAGAATCCTATTGGCTAGAGGGATTGAGTGTGATGAGGACAGCCACTACCAAACCCTTGCTGATATCATCTGAATATAACCGAATCAGTTGTTTTCACTCGAACCCTGTCTTAGCGCTCAGCTTTGCAATCTGCCTGTTCTCCATGGCTGGTATTCCTCCTTTAATAGGCTTTTTTTGGTAAGCTGCTAGTGCTTACGACAGCGTTGGACTCTGGGTATTACTTCTTAGTGTTTATAGCGATTCTGGTCAGTGTCATATCTACTGGGTTTTATCTTAGAGTAATTCGAGTCTTATTTTTCGATTCGATTCATTTCGAGATCAGCCGTTCTACGGAAATGATTCTTAGGCGGGCTGTCTTGTCGGAGTCGGACCCGAAGCCTCTTCATTCCATGGTGATTGCTACCTTGAGCCTTATTATCATTCTGTTCCTAGCTTATCCTTATCCCTCATTAAACTCCCTGCATCTTATTGCTCTTTCCTTTTACTTTTGGTAATGAGTACTTTGATTATGTACTTCTGCTTTGTCCCCCTTTTCACCGCTACCTTAATGGTGATTAATAACAGGGTAGGTGTTAAGAAGGGAGATCCAGCCAAAGTATCCCCTTATGAGTGCGGGTTCGCGCCAGTGGGAACCAGTCGCCAAAAATTCTCGGTAAGCTTCTTTCTTGTTGCTATTCTTTTCTTAACCTTTGACCTTGAAATCCTCTTTGTTTATCCTTTTGCTATGTCTCTGTGCCACCTCTCACTATTAGGTTATTGGGTATTTATAGTCTTTTCTCTGATTCTAACTGTTGCCTTTGTGTACGAATTAGGCATAGGCGCTCTTAACTATGCCACTAAAGCTTCTTCTTCTTCACTAACTTCTTCTCAAAATTCTCCCCGAGACTCTAACCGAACCAAACAAGAGGCCAACAAGGAAAATAGGTTCCCAAGAGTAACACGGTTTTCAGTAAGAAAACCAGGAGCGGTTACATAGGAATGTCACCTTACACAGTAAGCAACCGGGCTTGATGGATATTGATTAGGGGCCCCCTAGCCCTTTAGGCCCGATCCTACGGGGGGCTACTTCTTGGATACCTATTTGGGATAGTTTATTACACTTGCCTTCAAGGTAGGGTTGCTCAAGAGAGCCTTAAGTCACAACAAGACAGGCTTTGGCTTACTACCTTGGCTTTAATAAAGCTTCTTTCTGCATAACTTCTACTATCCTATCCTTAAGGATAATCAAGTTTGATAGGGTTAGTTTAGGTCTTAGCTAGAACTTCCCCTTATATTTCCTAGGTATAGCTTTACTTGGGTTACCTTTCAGAGCGGTTCTTTAAGATAAGCTTTACTTCCTTAGCTAAAACTAGTTACAACTTAGCTTTGTAAACTATGTTGCATTAAACAGCACACCCAGTCCTCTTGTTACTTCTAGGTAAGGATACTTATAAAGTAGATTAAAGGTAAAGCAGGGGGAATTTGGAATCCATTAATGGAGAGAGAGTACGTCATTTAGGTAAGAAGCCGTGAGAAGTACAAAGACATAAGCTTGAAGAATCGCAACCCCTAGTTCAAGGGCGTATAAGGCAGTTAAGAAGAGCACAGGGAGAAAACCAAGGATAACCCCTAAGATAGAACCAGTAATAAATTGCCAAGAGAAAGTAGATATAATCTTAAGCAACACATGACCCGATATCATGTTAGCTGAGAGCCTGACTCCTAAGGATATGGCACGAGCCAGGTAGGATATAGCCTCAATTACAACTAAAAGGGGCACTAACACCAAAGGTGTACCGGCTGGTACAAGAATAGAGAAGAAATGAACTCCATGCCGTTGTAAACCTAAGATGGTGACTCCTAAGAGAACAGTAAAACTCAACCCCAGGGTTAAGGCAAACTGAGCTGTGACGGTATACGAGTACGGGATTAGCCCAAATAAATTACATAATAGAATAAAGGTAAATAAAGCAATAATTGCAGGTAAATAGATATGCCCAGCAATAGCTACTTGGGAATGTACCAAATTAACAAGAAAGCCATATATAGACTCCAATGTAACCAACCAAGAGTTATCACGGCCTATCCGTGCTGGAATGAAACTAATAACCAATCCTGATATAACCACCCCTAAGACTATAAGGAGGTATAACCCAAGGTTAGTTAAGGGTAATTCAATTAAGGGTAATAGAGGGGCATCAATACCTAGCAACTTGATAATCTCGAACTGCTCAAGAGGGTTGTTAAGAATGCATAACATAGAACCATTTTCATTCAATTCAGGTTACATACGAATTGTTCTACTAATCAGAGTGGTGCGAAGGATACACGGCATACTTTACCGTTGAAAGTAAACATACATAATCTCCTTTTGAATACGCTTAATTATACACGAATGTGTTGCGGGTAGGGGGTAAAGCCCCTGCGGGTTGGTACTTGCGGGTCCCTTGCTATGCTACCAACTACCAACTACCAAGCATAATGTTTCTGAAGCTATTGCTTTGATTATGTAGTTAACTAAGGGCCGTTCAGGGGTCTATATATGGACTTGAATGAAAGCTAAAATAACATAGGCAGTTCAAGTAATTTGTACCGGTGTACTTTAATCTACAAGCAGGGCAGTGGCTCGGCAACTCCTTGATTTACAATGCCATCATTAAATACGGCTTAAAGCCCTTCTCTTTAACTATAATTGTTGATATGGTTGCTATGGTTGCTATGCTTGGTACCAAGCATACCAAGCATAACCAAGGGAAAGGATGTCGTTTATCCCTCGGGGCTAAAGCCGGGGGTGGGCTTATCTGAAGCCGGGGGGGCTTCAAAGAAGCCCCGGGGGATAGGAACCCTCTGATTACATCTACTCTCGACATTGCCTTCTGGTCGGATGGCTTCTATATGTGATACCTCAGCTGTAGCCTTTCCTCCCTTAATTATCCCTTCCAGAGTATGTAATAAGTAAGTAACTCTCACTTTTTACGAGGTGAAACTTATCCAAGATTAAGGGTAATTTCAGGTCAGGGAGTTATTAAGAATAAGGGAGTTAATAGCAGTTAAATACCATTATCACTATTCTGAATAAGGATTGGTCCCGAGGGCTCGACGGTAGAGCATACGAATGAAAATCGTAAGGCGCAGGTTCGACCCCTGCTCGGGACATTTACCCGTTAACAATAAGATGGATAACCATTACTCTTCACCTAACATTTCCCTACCCTTCTTCAGAAGAATGTAAGAGAAGTAAGAGTCAAGGGGGAACTTTGTAGTTCTAGGGCCGTAGGAGGCCCCCCAAGTTAGAAGATATCAAGGGATTAGAATCTGTGGAAAGAAGGAATTACGATAGGAGATGGAATTAAAGGGGCCTCTTTGAAGCCCCCCAAAGGATAAACGGCACTGATTTCTAAGTTTGATATCAAAGAACCTAAAATTCCCCCTAATTTGATTCTCCTTAGGAATCACGTGCGGGGCGGGGGAAGGAATCACCAAAGGTAAGGAAATATGGCGGGAAGGCTAAGCCGGATGGGTGGGAAACGTAAGCCTTGCTTTTAGCAAAGGGGAAGGAGTAGGAATTCACTCAATGACGAAACCTGGGTTATTCCCAACTAGAATACCCAGAACTAACCACCTTGGTATCCCCCTAAATTTCAAAGGCAGGAGCTTGGTTAAAAGTCCTCCTTGGGTTGGGAGCTGTTCAGCTAGTGAACATTAACCCTTTTTTATCTCCTTCCTTCCCTAGCTCAATACTTTTAAGAAAGGGCTTAACATAGCTTATCATCACTTAACTTGATTTCTAACCAACAGGGTAGAAGTTTCTTACTGACTCTGGTGAACAGCTCCCGATACTGATTTTAAGTTCCACTATCTTTTAGAGAAGGTACTTGGTATCTGAATCCTTACTAAAGAGTTCCCCTCTTAAACTAATGAACTGTACACGAGATAAGACTCAGATAAGAGTGTCATATCCTACCTTATCGTTGGATTTCTTCATCCAAGTAGCTTTGGATAAGGCCCATAGGGGTAATTTGTCACTTAAGTACCATAAAGAAGGACAGGACCTTAAGGAAAAGCAAACCAAAGGAAAGCAAATTAAAGCAACCAAAGGTAAGGAAATATGAAGGGGATGGCTTAAACAAGTTAGTAAAGGAAGAAGTAAGGAGCAATTCTGAGCTTATCTGATATTCACGGGTAACCTTTAAGTAGGCTTCCTCTTGGGGGCTTTAGAGAAGGGATAAGAGATAGAGCCTCTCCAATAACCAATCCCATTAAGTATCGTTAGTTCTGGGGGATAGAGTCTAGGTTGGGTACTGCTTAGGTTATTAGGAAACTCCGGGGCTATTTACACAAGATAAGGAGGATTACTCCAATGACGGGTTTGAGCCAGGGGCAAGAACACAGAGACCAGACCCACCCGATACCACCTAAGGGTGCTACACTCCCCATCCCCTTACCTACCTAACCCTCTCCTACCTGAACAAGCCTTACCTCTATTTTAAGGCTCACCAAGGCTTGCCTCCTAGTTGGCTTAATAAAGAGGGAGGGCGATTCTTAAGGGATTGGATTCCAGGTACTTGCTTAAGTAGAGGTGCAATATCCTTTATTGCTTCTTACTTGGGGGGGCCGGGTGAGAATGAGGGGGTAGAATTAGGTAGAATTAAGGGTAAGGCTACTTCCCCCCTCCTCTCTTACTCGTTCCCGATAATAAAGCCTTCCCCCGCTTCTTGCGATTCAGTAATAACCTAGGGGCCAGTGAAGAAGCAATAAAGAGGGGATACCATTGGCAACATCTCTTCCCTAGACTATCCTTGACTAACCTGTGTTCCCAAAGTATCCCCTTCAACAATTGAGGTCACTTTTTACGTCCCCTCTTCCTTAACCCAGGAATCAGGTTTAGGATTATCGTTTGATCAACGGGGCCCTACCCCTCTATTGATAACTAGGGAAATGCATCTTACTAAACTAAGGAACACATGAGTACTAGGTACTAACCTTTATTATGAGGTAGGAGTCAAATTCTCAAACTCTTTAGTAAGAATGAACCCTCTTCACTACTGTGAAGTTACTAAACAACTACTCTACGGGATTAGAAGAACTACTCTCGTCTCTTGCCGTCAGTACCCTTAGTAAATGAAGTCCTGAAATCTCTCTTGATTAGTGTACAGTAATACCACTTACCACTTAAACTACTCTCGTGTACCGTTAGTAAAGGACTACTCTACACTTAGTAACCCAACTACTCCCATCTGAAAGGAACTACTCTCACTTGAGTAGTGTGCACTAGTATTAAGGCACTAAAGCAAAGTTTACTCAAGCCTTAAGTGTACACTAGTAAAAAGGGAAGAATTCATTCTTAACATCAAAGAAGAATGATGTTTTCATTTCATAAAAACAGTATACTCTCTCAAGATAGGGTCGAAATCTTGGAGCCACGTCCAAGCTCATAAGGCTTCCTTAAGGGTAATACCAGGATGAATGAATTGATTTCATTAGTGGAATACTTCCATAAGAGAGCGCCTACTTTGAAGTAGTAAATTAGGTTATGCCTAATAGAGCGGTAAGGCTTAACTTGCTTTTCCCCTAACCCCTAGAGTAGGCCTTAGCCTACTTGCTGTCCCTGCTTACTTTCTACTTGCCTGCCTGCTAACCTTAATAAGTCTTACAGTACCTTAACCCATCTTCACTAAGGCCTCCTTGGAGGCCCACGATAGCGTGTATCCTTTGAAGGGGCGGTTTAGGTTATCTCCCGTTCCATCTATTGTCGTATCGACATTCCTTTGAAACTTCTATTCTGATACCTCTAACTAATCTCCAGGGCTTTAGCCCTCCCCCTTTAAGACGTCTTAAAGACTTTTGAATCTAACTTAAGTGGAGAGTTCCCTTTTCATCGGCTTTCTAAAGAGAGACCCTCAAGGGATAGCAAATATCTGAGAAGAAGGCGAAGTGGAACGCAAGCTCACTGTAAATGAGTGACCATAGGTCAAGGGGGTTCGAATCCCTCTCTTCTCATGGGCCTTGGAGGGCTTTGTGCAATTCATTCACCAAACCTTCTTTAGATTCCCCTAACCTTATTTCCCATTAAAGGACGTTCCCCACCAACACGGGCTGTCAAACCAAGATATGTCCTGGGTACGACTCTAAACTGCCTCACCGGTTATGACTGGTGTTATTGTATGGCTTATCAAGAAGTTAAAGAAGATGATTAACAATGCATGCTACATAACGCTTTTAAGCCATTATTTGTCTCCAGCTGCTAAATCAGCAATTGACTTGCCACCTTATATCCTGGGGGTTATCACTGGAATGCTCTTTAGGGCCCCTGGGGGTGTGTAGACGTATTACGTTTAATGTAAGCTACATTTAATGATTCTCCCCCAGTAATCACCCCAATTTAGCGTAGATTTCCCCTGACCAATTTAACGTAGTTGTTAACTGATTTCTACGCTAAAATGGACCCCTGAGATTTGAAATTTGGGCATCGTCATAATTCCCCTTAGTTGTTCCATCCAATTACCTCTTTTCCGATCTATGGTAGGGAGCCAGATCGGGGTAGGTGATTACTTTGCCTTATAACAGCCTCTCTTATAACTAATACTGTCAGTTCACCCATATTCTATGCCCCAGTCAACATAGGTTTTTGGGCTCCTTTTAAGGATTTGTTAGCTCTTTTCATCCCCCCTCTCGGCTTGACATTGAAGTCAGTTATTTGGCTATCTTTTGACTACCTTTACTTCTTCTCAGAATCTAGGGATTCTTAAGCTTTTAAGCGTTAATTCTCTTAAAATGGTGTTTAGTTCTTGAGGAGTATAATCATGAATGGATTTTTGTGGGTAGATGTTGAATAAAGGTTCACATTTCTTGTGATTGAATTTAGAGGCTTAGTATCAACCCAATTACCTGCATCGTCGTAAACTTTGGTTCGTTTTTGGTATTCACCTGTAATAATAGTTGTTTGTCCCATTCGAAGAAGATTTGGGAATTTCCCCAATCTCTTTCCCATTTGGTTTTCTTTTTGAACCCCGAATACGTTGTCTACACAGCCCCCAGGGGGGGGGCCCTAAAGGCCCGGGGGCTCCGTAGGAGCCCCCCCCCCCCGGCGACGGCTCTCTTTTAATGACATTAAAACACAACAGAAGAATCATGCCTTTGTGCTTCTCCTAAGGGGGGGCCATAGGCCCGGGCTTTAGCCCCCTTTTATTGAAGCTTATTCAACTTCATAGTAATCAGTAGCTAACTTCACAGCAAGTCTTAGCTAACTAGCGTAGTAGCTCGTAGGCAAGAGTAAATCAGCAGTCAACCATAACCGTAACCCAAAGGGCAACTTCAAAGCAAGTCTATAGAGTAGCCCGGCCTTAAGAGTAAGCTATCTGCTTATTAAAGGCTTCTACTAAAGAAACCTAGCCAAGTATCATTCCCCGTTCTCTTCTCAGCGGGTGAGAATGAGTGGGGAATAGTTCCAGCAGGTAAAACTTCGCTACCTTTACTCTTCCTTTCATCCTGCATCAGCTTTGGTATGAACAGGGGGTCAAGGTGCTCCCCTGGGAACATTACTGAGCTCCTCTTTTAACCCCCATAGGTATTCCCCCTTATTTTTGGTTACATCCTTAACTCTTTAGTAACCAAACCATTGATTTAACCTAGTTTTAAGGAAGAGAATCTTTAAGGGTAGACTCTTTAAGAAGAGGGGTATCGGAGAAAGAGGGTTTGACCTTGCTTAACTATCGCCAAGAAAGGGAATTCCCCAGGGAACCCAAGATAGAAGGGGGAAGGGCCAGATGGGTTCGAACCATCCACCTCTGCGTTATCAACACAGCACTCTCACCGAATGAGCTATGACCCTGATTTAGATGTCGAAAGTAAGGTAAAGAATTGGGGGGGAAGCTTTGATATCCTTAGGATCCCGGGATCCTATGGATCCCCGAAGGAGCCCCGAAGGATAAACGACATCCTTTCCCGTTTAATACGCACAGGGATGCACTGCTTGCTACCATGAGTAACCGCAAAGAATTGCCTTTAAGGTTAGCAACAGAGTAAATCAGTCTCTCCGGGGGCTTCAGATAAGCCCGGGGGCCCCTCAGTTGTAAGCTCGTAGCATAAGACCTGCTTAGCATTTACTGCGGCCATTATTGCCCGACTCTCAGTTGTGTGGCTGTTGACTCTCAGTTGCCCCTGTTTGGCTGCAGGGATTTTGGATTTGGCCTCCTCTGTGTGGTTATTACCCAAAAGCACTTGTGACCTTTCATGCTAGCAAGGGCAGAAGAGAACTTGGCCTTTGGTATGGGGGCCTCCGGCCCCAATGTTTGCTCCTTTAAGTGTATCACTTATTCGTGCACGTGCTTCAGTTGAATGATTGGACCCAGGCGAGAGCCTGCTACTGGAAGGATATTGTACTCGGGAGGGATCTAAATCAAACTGCTCTCGTTTTCTTTAGCACCGATTCGCAATATTCGCGACAATACCATTACTTAAGCCTACTTGAATATGGCGCTATATTTGACTGATTTCCCGCGGCTTAATGCATGTTCCCATGAAAACAGGGTTACAGTTAAGACGATTCGCTAGAACTATTGAGCTTTATAGCATTTACCATTGATTTTATCAACAAGACAGTAGACTCCGGGGAACTTATGGTTCTCTTGAACCAATTTCATCCCCTTTGAGGCTCTCATATAAAGCGACACAGAAGGAGGGTTGTGGTCATTAGGGCAAGAGCTAGATGCCAACTTTGCTTGCCCCTTGGCAAACCAGGTAGAAGTAAGGGAACTTGCTCTAAGGTTAAGGCCCAGAGAATAAGGAGCAATGATTGTGAAACAAGGAGGTATTACGGAGACAGGAAGGAGAACTGCAAATGCAGAGTATAAATAGACATGAGTCGGCATGGTAGCAAGAACCAGGAGAAAAAGAAGGGTAAGTTAAAGAGGGTAACACTAGATAGAAGGGGCAGGGCAAGAATAAGGCTGAGATAGTTCAGAAGGCACTTCTGGTGTAAGCGAATTAGGGAGAGAAGCTTTCGTCTTATCTATTTAGATAAGACTAACACTAGAAGGCTCAGTTAAGGGGCTCCATAGCCTCTTGGTAGCATGAGGGCGGAACAAAAATCACAGAGTGAAAAGAGGAAGCAATAACAGAGCCTCGGAAGGCATATTCTGTTCAGAACTTTGGTGTGTCACACTCACCAGTAAGAAGGTAAGGAATCCTCCGACCTGGGACCCGAAGAGTAAAGCACCTATTTGAAACGAAAGTAAGAGACCCAGTATAAATCCCTCTGATATCAGCAGATATAGTATACTGGAGTGAAGCACAGAGTAACAACCCCTTCATTTTCCCCAGGGATGTTCTTCGCATTTAGCATAGTAAGCCTTGGTGGGTTTACATTCCTCCTTCATGGTAGCAAGACCCTAGAGTTAAAGTCAACCCTACAAATAAGGAACGTAAAGCAAGTAAAACACTTCTACACTGAGTGTGAAGAAGAGTTTGACTCATTCCTTGGAACAATTATCCTTGCTATTCTGTGCTTAATTCTAGTGTGATTCTTTGTTGTTATCCCAGAAGGGGTTTTACTGGGGCTTATTCTAGCTATTCCGATGATTAGTATGCTCTTTGCGTTGGAGGATTACGGGATTTAATCAGGGAGGAAATCACTCCTTCATCAAGTCCTCTACTTCTCATTCCTTCGTCTTGGTGATGTCTTTCACTGACTCCTTCGGTTCCTGAGCCTGTATTGTTCCTGAAACCTCCGCTTAATACTGGAGCCCCTGCCGTGTTACTTCCTGCATCGGCTAACTCGCTTATCCTTGTTCCAGCTACTGAGTCTATCTTA